AATAATGTTCTTTTTAGCAACATCATATGACCCCTTTAACATTAGCAACCAGAAAGGAACTGGAGATCTTTTGCCATATTTGTGGCTATTAGACTATCTTTAGATATCGGAGGTTAAGTCAAAGCAAACATTTGTCTACATTAATCACGTTTGAATGTGTTACTCACTGAGTGTTGTGTGTCTGTAGCTCTGGAGTGTTTGAGATCGCAGAAGCTTCAGGTGTGTGTCAGGGGACCAAGATCGTGCTCCACCTTAAGGACGACTGCAAAGAGTTTTCATCAGAAGACCGAGTCAAAGGTCTGCAGCACTCAGAGCCACGAACATAAAACATGACATGCTTGGAAAAGAAACTCACTGAAGTGACTGTGGTCTGTTTTGCAGAGGTTGTGACCAAGTACAGCAACTTTGTCAGTTTTCCCATCTTCCTGAACGGACGGCGGTTAAACACCCTGCAGGTATGTGAAGTCTGTTGATGAATGACCTTTGACCTCCCTGTGGCTCTGATGATCAGTCCTGAGCTGTTTTTCTCTCTCTGTGCAGGCGCTCTGGATGATGGAGCCCAGAGACCTCAGCGAGTGGCAGCATGAGGAGTTTTATCGCTATGTGGCTCAAGCCCATGATAAACCCCGCTACACACTGCACTACCGCGCAGACGCTCCGCTCAACATCCGCAGCATCTTCTACGTGCCGGAGATGGTGAGTGTGAGATGACGACTGAATCAGACAAATACACAATGACTGACAAAATAGTGTAACTTGCAGTCGCCGAACCACTGTGACTTACATTAATTACCCTTTCAATAAATATAATAAAGTTCACAATATCTCTGCAGGTTCACTTGTCAAATACAGTATTATTTCTTCTTATAAAATATTACCTACCTGTATTAAACATAATATATAACAATTTAACTGAAAAATGACAACTAAAATATGCATGTAAAGCACTAATTCATACATATTTAAATTTATATGCGGCATATAAATGCATTTACATTTAAATTAAAGTAAAAATTGTACATACATAAAATCAAGTATTTACACATTTTAAAATTACATTATACATTATACAAATACATACATAAAATGTTATTTTAAATGAGCTACATCTATTAGTTACCCGTTACATCATTAACTGAAGTATGCATTTAAAGTACTAATCTGCACATATTTTAATAATCATTTAAATTTAAATAACAATATGTACTTAAATTGCACATCATTTTAAAAACAAGTATTTACATACTTTAAAATTACATTATGCACAAAGTAATTAAAAAAGAATGTTAGTAATTTTAAATTAATTAGCCTGTTACGTAACTTAACTGAAATATGCATTTAAAACACTAATTTGTACATATTTTAATTCATATGCAATTAAATCCATTTAATTAAACTTGAATTACAGAATGTACTTAAATTAAAAATCGCTTATAAAGTATTTACATATTTTAAAATTATACATATTAAATGTTTAAAAAAGTTCAGTTTAAATCATGGTTTAATTTTATATTTTGGGGAAGTTGTGGCCTAATGGTTAGAGAGTCGGACTCATA